GAAGAAACCATTTTCAGGAATGCAAATCTTATACTTAATGTGAAATTATGTACCCATTACATTATTGATTTGTTATCAAGTAATGTCTCTCGCCATGCATCATGATATTTGTTTCTAATATTCTAAAGTCAGATAAAATAATGTGTATGGGATGTATTTATAAATGAGAAAGTGGAGACTTTGTACAACTATTCTAAATCTGACGGATTTAATTAAAAGAGTTACTTTATGGGAGTTAATAACACATCTGATAATACCAACACAAGAGCTTTATATTTTAAGATCTTTTCTATCAAATTTCAATCAAACAATTTTTCAAAGTACAGAATTACAGAACTAGTTTGCAGCCAATGAATAATTCATTTGTTATTCTGCAAGAAAGGGTATCATGTGTCAGAGCCCAAGCAGTGTCGCATATTGATTTTCCATCTCTTTAACCTTACTGGCAAGCATGTTATTTCCAAATCAATTCATCAACCTTGTCAAGTGATTTTTTTTTTAAAATTTAACTACATATTCTCATTTTACTTGATAATGCATAACGCTACTGTATTTGAAAATCAATTTTAACCCATCTCATCCCTCCTATTTAGAATATTGGTTACTATTTATATGCTGGATTGGAGCATTCAGAATGTACCTGATATGCAATTACTGTTTCTGTCTGGGGTACCTCTTTCAGTCATAACATTAACTTGCAATATTTATATAGCACTCCACCAATTTTCGTGTTTCTGCTGAATGAAAGCAAGCTGCTTGACCACTACTGTACCACACTTATCTTTTTTTTTTCTTTATAAAAGAAATACTTACTCTAATCTGGTTTTTCAGCTGTTCTGTTTCTTGGCGAAGAGCTTCTAGTTCACTGCTCATGATGACAATTTATCTACAGGTGCACAATCTTGAATAAAAACAGAAGTAACTCAGTGCAGTGACACTTACAGGTGCCTATTAAGCAACCCTCAGTTAACAAATACATTCACAGTGCCTAAAAGTTGGACCCAAATAATGCAACTACAAATCTTCTGTATTCTGATGATGGCAATATTGACCTTTACAATTGCAGCATTCCTTCTTTTTCAAATGCAACACATACCAATGTAAGATTAATCAAACTTTTCTTCCTTATATCTCAATGATAGTTTGAAAATAAATATTCTATGACAAGTACATACTCAATGTCCACATTTTAGCATGTATATACGGCATTTAACATCAGTACCCCACCCTATACCATTTTAATGTTACAACTAACAAGTAAACAAAGAACGGGATGACATAGCTTGGAAAAATTTATAGAGTCATTTGAATTGACCAGTTTCCATGCTTCACTTTAAGTAGAAGCCTGTCATTTTCATAAAAAGCTTGTGTAACTTGGATGTGAAACCATCCCTGCATAAAATTATCGACATTCAAGATGGAGGCTACATCATCTACATCAGCATCAGTTTCTTCGATGCTCGGACTCTAAACATTTGATAAAACTTAAAAACAAACAACAACTGTCAATTCTCACCATCCCTTATAAACAGTACATGTAAATACAAATTAAATTGTTGACATTTATCATGTAAACATAGAATACATACAGCGGAAATGGACCGAGAACTCATCACGCAACTCACTCCTTGAAATTTTCCTTAAAATATCATACTTTCACAACAAACAACGGCTCGTGCATAAAATACTTACATTAAATAGAGAAAGAGGAGATCGAAACCTCCTTTAAATTGTCATAAAGACCCGTTTAATCGTTTATTTTAGTCCGGCATTCATCAGTTTATCTGTCTTCCTGTAATGGGGTGCGGTCCTCCCTGTATTTGCAACGTAAAACCCCATAGATAATGAAAATCAATACGATGCGCATGCGTAAGTCAAATAACACGAATTATCGTTCTTGTGTGCGGATCGAAGAGATTTTAAAAATAATATTCTTTCAATATATTTAATAATAAAACCAGGGACCTATATACTGTTAATATACAGGTCCCTGATAAAACAGTGAAAGCAAAAATATATACTTTTCGGCGTGAATTCCAGAAGAAATAAATTTGATTCAATGATTTTCTTTCTTTATTTTTTCCTATGCCGATCATTTATGTACAGGCACATTTATTACAGGCACAGAACTAGGGGCGGGGGAATTCACCTGAAAAATATTTGAACCCCCTCCCTTAAAAAAATTGGAAAGAAAATTTTCCAAACACAAAAATTCTTTTTCGTGGGGTGGGGGGGCATATTCAAGTATCAAATATTTTATTGGCACAAACACAATTACCAGTCGATTACAGTAATTTCATGGTAAAGGCACATACAGAACATAATAAGCATGATAATACAGTAGAACACAACTAGAATACAAGCAATTGGTGTACTCATCATGCAGATACTATATAAATAATTCAGATATAAATGTAGTTACTCACTTATAGCTAGAACACTTAACTAACTTGTGACAAGATTTTTTTTTTTTAAAAAAAAGGGGGGATATGACTTTACTACAAATGGCGGGGGCCCAGCCACTCCATGAACATTTTCATACTAAATTGACAATAATTAAAACATTATGTTTGAAAAAAGGGGAGCCCCCTCCCCCTGATACTACGTGGCTGCCTGTTATATTCCGAATATCCTTCTTTAAAGATTAGGATCAGAAAACAGCTAGCTGACAAAAGGTGTAGCAAGATGACAAAATGTGTGTGCATTGGAGGAGTGGTGTGGCTGGGGTGGGATAGGGGTGACACAATGATGTCAAAAAGCCTGGACTTCAATTTATCGTGGGGAATGGTTAATTGTATACAGAGTTGAAAAGTCGTAAATTTTTATGTTATTGATTTTGAGAAATTTTTGTGATTTCAAATTTTCTAAAATTAAGTTCCTCGGAATTTTTAAGTATCTACATCTGATTTACAGCTGACAAAGCAGGTAACAACATTGTCTTTGTTTGTAAGAAAAGTAAAAAAAAAAAAAAAAAAATGGAACTTGTAAATTTACTACCTCAGTTGTCATTGGTCATTAAAATTTTTCAAAATTATTTTGTTAAAAACATTCTGATTGTACACATAAGTACTCTACAGTAGATATTAAAAAGATAATTGAGTTTCTGATTGACAAATCTATGTAGTTTTTGGAGATCAAGTCTTCCAACAATCTGTAGGAATTCCCATGTGTATCCACATTCCACATTGCATGTGCCCCGTTATTAGCAGACCTTTTTTTATATTCATATGAAGCAGATTTTATTTTAAACAATTATACACGAGAAGAAGACACTTGCTGTGGACTTCAACTCGACATTTAGATATATTATATCGACGGCGAATTATCAATTAACAATAGTTACTTCAATTTATATGTCGACTCGATATATCCCAGTGAACTTGAAATAAGATACCACAGAGTCTGACACATCTGTTTCATATTTTGGGTATTTGACTAGAAAAAGACAATAATGGTAACCTAACAACAAAACTTTATGATAAACGTGATGGTTCAACTAGGATATATGGATATTTTCATACGCCAAAGGCTGAAGAATTAATGTGCTGTTAATTATGATTAGAGTAATGACTTCAACTTTTCTATCGTCAATATTCCTCGCTTATGTAGCAATATACCCTTATCACCTGTATATGGGGTTTATATTTCCCAGTTCATTCCATTTGATATGCTCTACGTACGAAGAATTTCTAAAAATGGGAATTCAACAGTCAAAAGAAAAAAAAAGTTTATCATTTCGCAGGTCATATGGTCGATACAATGACTTTGTTAGCACATACAATCTATCATTAAGTCAAATGCTGGCTGACGTTTTTCATACTAATTGTTAGGCCATTATTTATTGATTTTTTCCGTTTGCCCGATCATTACAGTGAGCACATGTTGGGTATGACCGGTCAACAGGGGATTTTTACTCCTCCATGGCATCTGATCCCACCTCTGCTGTTTTTTTTTAGAGGTCCGTGTTTGCTCTGCTCCCGATTTGTATTGAATGTGAGCTTGATTACTGTTCGTTATCTCATATTTCATTTGACAGCTGTTTGATGAGTTATTTTCATCTTTTAATTTTATGCTTTTGTTTTTGTACATGGTGTTTTCTCCCCCTCTCTTCTCTTTTGATTTTGTTTTTTTTTAATTGCTAAGTTATTATTTTACTTCGCGTCAAACTTGTTTGACTTTTGCGTGGGGGGATTCGTTTTTACCGTTAATTCGGTTATAGTTACTATTAGCAGAAACATATATGGTTTCATACGTCTTTGCTTTTCGTTGAGCCTGGTTAGGTGCAATAATCTAGTCCTTTCCACATCGTCGCAAGTTTGTGTCCATTCTATTTTGAAATAGCTAGAATGGTCCCGTGGCTTTCGAATCTCTCTGACGTATTATGAGAGTGGGGCAGCCAGGCCCGTAGGAAGCAATTTCACTTTGTGGGGGCACAACCATACATTTTCAGTTGGGGGCACTATCAACTACCAAAATTCCTTGACAAGCAAAAAAAAAACAAAAAACAAAAACAAAAAAAAAAACAAAAAACAAAAAAGAAAAAAGAAAAAAAGGTATCAGACGTTATTATTGAGGGGGCACAAGCATATAGTAGCTATGTTTTCTATAGTATTCTATATATCGGCAAAATTACTGGAGGGGGGGGGCACGGCTCCCCGTGCCCCCGGTTCCTACGGCCATGGAGGCGGTGCGGGTTGACAACCTCCATCAACTTTGAAAACAATATTTATCTGGCAAACCAAGAAGGTAGCCAGGAAAAGCATTTAACAGACAAAAAAGGAAACCGACTCAAATTCTTCTGATAGGCCTACTGAATGAACAGCCCTTAGAAGCAGTTGTAGTACAAGTTAATCGACCGACATATACAATCCAATCAAAATAGAGTTTACAAACTATGTTCGGACTCTCAAAATAAATACTTACGCTACACCACATGGCAAATGGTTTGGGTTGGGACAGAGATACAAGATAGAGTCCATAAATGGTTATTATCAGAATTGAAAAGAATATCGATATGTGGTATTGATAAAAAAAAAAATTAGAAGCAGATTTTAAAGACTAGGGAAATGGTGGAAATAGACAGAGGTAAGAATATTTAAATGAACACTAAGTGAAAAGGCAGGGTTGTCCTTTGTCGTCACGCGAATAACTTGTATTATTAATTACTTTTATGGAAAATGGTCTTCACATGTTTTCCTTTCTGAATATATGGATACTAAACTTTCATCCTAGGAATAGGAGCTGTCATTGTTTTAATTTGACTGCTTACAGTTGTAGTTAACAGGTCCAGCACCATCTCTTGATTTAGCTGTATAACTTGAATTAGTTATAATTTAGCTTTATCAAGCTATTGAGAATAGTTTGATAAAGAACTGCGAACGATAGTATTGTTCTCCCGCCTACCTCCAAGTCAATTTTCAAAAGTCAACACATTTGAATGATTTTTCATATCTATATTCAATTGATATTTATATGAATTTTTCTTTGGGAAAACAAAGAGAGATAACTCTATAATTTTGGTAAAACGTGTTTTTCACTATAGAAAGCAATGGAAAACGGAAAATATTTTTAAAACATCTTTCCTTCCCCAGTGAAACAAAAATTCCTTTTTACAGGTAATATGGACTGTCATTTCACAAATTCATATCAGAGCTTTTTGTGTTTCACGGGGGGGGAGGGGGGGGGAAACATATGTTTACAGGCAATAAACTACAAAAATGCTTAATTTTTCACCAATTTCAAAGGGGTTTACAACTAAAACATTGTATTTTATTAATAATATATGTTTAATTTTGTATGAGTAAAACATAAGAAAAGATTTAAGGAACATTTATTCATATCCAAGAATATTTTAAAATGTGGTGATGCTTTAAAGCCTGATTTCAATGAAAAATATTGTCTACCCCCTTATCTAAAGAGCTGGAATTAGGGGTAATTAACTATTTAACATTGGTATTAAACTTATCAGTCAGTTACCATTGAACTGTTCTTTACATTCAACAACAATTTTACGGCCAAATTGCCATTAGTATTGAATTAAATTGGAGGTAAAATGTAGGCAGGAATGGAGAGTTAGCGTGCATAGTTCTTTATTTCAATACATTTTTTCACAAATATTTTTTAATACAAGAAATATACAAAAGGTCGCAAGTATGTGAAAACCCATGGTTCAATGTTGAAAGTAGGTCTATATATAGAAGTGTGGGGTCAGACAGGTTTGATTGCCAGTGGCCAGATAGCTCAGTTAGTAGAGCACCTGACTAGAGATTCAGGGGACCTGGGTTTGAATCCTGGTCTGGTCCGTCACATTTTTCTCCTCTCCTGATACATTTGGTGCCATTGACCACCCCTGGACTGCGGGTGAGAGTCCTGCCAGGGGCAAATAGAACTTTGGTTGTGTCTTCGAGGGTGAAGACAATTTTTAAAAGAGGGAGGAATGTAATGGTTTGGGCCATGGATATTGGCCTAAGTAGCTCAGTCAGTAGAGCACCTGACTAGTGATGCAAGGGTCCTGGGTTCGATTCCCAGTCCAGCCATACATTTTCCCCTTTCCTGTTACAGAAGTATGGCATATATACTCAGTTCTCATTATATCATGGGTACTACAGTGCTACCTCGGTATATTGCCAACTTTTGTCCAAGACAGATTTTGGCATTAAAGTGAGGGTGGCAATATAACGAATTCGCCTTAAATTACAATTCATTTGGTTATCAAAACAAAATAAATATATTACGTAATTTATTTCAGTTACAATCTATTTATGTCACATGTATAGGGACAACTCTCATTTCTTTTTGGGGAAAAAAGTCAATATTATTGTTTTGTTTACAATATTTTGACTGAAAAGAAATAAAATACCAGAATATTGAACACATCAATTTCCTTTCGTCATGCTCTAAGAATTTAATAACCGGGTGACAAAGATGTCAGTGGCAGTTATGGCCTCTTTGTATGAAAAAAGGTTTTGAGAATTATCATTAATTTCATCTGAATTGAAAGTAGATTTAATCATTATTTCAATGTCTCAAGAATTTCTGAATCAGTAAAAAAGTTCGGTTGTAAAGCATCATGACTGACGAATAGTAAGTCACATGTCAGAATACGTCAACCCGTTATATTAAACATGTATTCTTATGTTTGCTAGTACCTGTGTACTTCTCTTCCGATTCTGTTTTGATATTTATCAATCAAACCAATATATGCCCGACAATTTAAGAAAATTTCAGGGCTAACTGAATCCCTAATATTTTCACGTGCGGAACTATAGTAGTCTAAAAATAGATATATGGGGTTTCCTTTTTGATCGATAGAATGGCTTCTTAATTAATCTAAGGGAATACAAATTAATTTTTGCATCTATTATGGTTTTGTGCATTATCCATGATAAGCAATAATCGGCGATTTACAATCAAATAGATCAAATGTTGATCAATCTTTTTATTTTCGTAATTTAAATTATTTTCCATTATTGTGATGAAATAATCTTCTATCTTATAAACACACGCCAAAGACATTGCTAATTTTGAGTTTTATACAACGATTATCTTTAATTTAGCTAAATTCCTTGTCCAGCCAGTCACGCTTCACCGCAACCACTGTCAAAGCAAGGGTGATTTGTCCAAATTACCGACACGCGTTAGATAATTGGCATTGTTACCGAGGGTTTTCCTTACACAATTTGACCTTTTGTTTCCCAAAACCAATGGCAGATGGCAATAAGCGGGGTTGGCAATATAACGGGTGTATTAACACAGGTGGAAATCTGTTCTTCAAGAATTCCTGGCAATAAGCGAGGGTGGCAATATAACGGAGGGCAATATACCGAGGTACCACTGTATTGTATCGCGGTATTTTCCAAAAATTAGGATACACAGCACATATCCTTTTTGTTAATGGACTGTCTGTCTGTCGTCTGAAGGACTCGTGTATTAATGATGAAAAAAGTACGGAATGTACATTGGAAAAAATATTTTTTCAAATAATTTAAAAGAGTAATTTTACTGACTTCTATTCCCGTTTTTATTTTATTTTGACCATTGACTATATAAACCTAGTAAATACCATAATGGAGATCATATTTTTAAAGCCTTAATTTGTTATTGTTGTTAAGTTTTCATGCAGAATCAATTGAATTATAAAAATATAAACTGCATAACAGCCCCAAGCTTCCATGTGTTTCAATACTGCGATACAATGAGACTCAGATTTGGAGGTAAACAAGACTTCCTGTTTTAAAGATAGACTAAAAATGAAATGAAGCAAGCTTGGAAAATAATTTGCCACTAAAGAGTTAGCCCATTGATATATTTATGAAAAGCATCTGATGAAAAATTAAAGTAAGAATTTGGAATAACTTTTTTTAAAGCAAAAGAAATATTACAAAATACCACTGTACGTTAAACACTTCATGTACAGTACACATGGTACATGTAATTGCAAGTTTCAATAAAATTTTAAAATATGTAAATTAATTGCAAATGTTCTTGCATTTATGAAAAAAGACACTATTTTATGCTGATTATGCTTTTTTTGATTATATAATTATAAAGAATGACATCTATATCTAACACTTCAATGACATGCATGTTATACATGTACTATAAAACTAATATAAATATTAATAATTTATTCTTAATTAATGTTGTGTTTTGTTGCATTTATGGAAAAATTATTACTATAGTATTTTTTATTGCAAAATTTAAAAAATTAAAACATTTCATGATAAATTGACTGGACTATTAGATTCCTCTTAACTTTTTAGTGTCAGGGATAATTGATATCATCAACATCCTGGGAAAAAAATGTTTTTGTTGTTGTTATGGTTTGTTCTAACATTCTCACACCACAGACATTAATATGTATAGTCATCAGAATTCAAACTATTATTATAATAATGAGCATACCTCTTACACAATTGGACTACATACCGGTAGTAATTTTCAGAAGGAAAAAAAAACAGGAAGAAATGTGACATTACCTTTGTGACATCACTGACATCATAATCAAATGTGCACAAAATGGATGCTGAGATTGTAAAAATTGTGTATAGTAAATCACGCTTTATATAGCAAAGTGCTAGAGAAGAACAAATTTGATTCATTATAAATATAATCCATTGTATCATTAGGTTTACAACTACTTATGTTTGAAAACTACCGGGAATGAAAACCACTTTGCTTAATTCTATATTTATTATTAGTATGTTTGCTGTAACCATGTTTATCTGTAGTACGTAAATTTGATGATGAAAGCAAACCTGCAGTACCCTAAGTAATGAGTACAGAGAGGAGTACATTGCACAATGTTTGCTGATTCCATTAAAAATAATTTGAAATGGCCAATAGCATGAAAGAATAAGACTGGCGATAAATGTAAACGTAGCATAAAAAGATGTGAAGAATTAGGACTTAAGTATCGTATATATCTGGCATATTGGCTTACTTAAGTATCATATATATCTGGCATGGCTTACTTAAGTATCACATTTTTTCACATTGTTTACTCAGGTACACTGATTTTAAAAAGTCAGTTTAGATTATTTTCTTTTTTTTTTTCTCGTTTAAATGAAATTTTGACTTTTTGTGAGCTTATGGGGAAAAAATTTCCAAAAAAGTACCATGTATACAAATTTGATACAGTGGCTGTTCTTATGAGCTTGTGTTGAAGGAACTGGGAGTCTCAGCAGTAACGGTGATGATTAAGAGGCTTCTCTGAAGTTATAATTAATTAACAGTCTTGGGTTATTCTTTTAAATACATGGAGCCTTCTATCCCAGATATTTAATTTTCTAATTAGAAAAGATCAACGAACAAGAGAGCATAATTTTTTTTCAGCTCACCTGAGCAAAAGGCTCAAGTGATCTTTTCTGATCGAAATTTGTCCGTTGTCTGTCGTTGGCGTCGGCGTCGTTGTAAACTTATCACAATTTCATCTTCTTCTCCAGAACCACTGGGCCAATTTCAACCAAACTTGCCACAAAGCATTCATGGGTGAAGGGGATTCAAGTTTGTTCAAATGAAGGGCCACACCCTCTTTCAAGGGGAGATAATAGAGAATTGGTGAAAAATAAATAGCATCTTTTAAA